TTAACTCCTTTTCAAGATAAATATTAACAAATTAAAAACAAAAATAATAATATAATTAAACCATAATACTAAAAATAATATATTAAACTATTAATGATAATCTAAAATTTACTCATAAGCTAAATAATACTTTTCAGTCTCATATTTATTCTGAATATAATCAATCCATCTTCTCCAAACCGAAATGTATTTTTCTTGTGAATAGTCCTTTAAATAAGCGGAGATTTTGGCCATTTCTGCTAAATTAGACACCTTAAGTATCCATTCTTCCACAGTAGGCAAAAAAATTTTCTTCCAATATTGCCCCACCAATAATCTTGCAGCTATTATAAGATTCAACATCAAATTAATTTCTTTAACATCAAAATCTACAATAATACCTAACAAAAATAATTGCGGTGTAAACTTTATCTTTCTCTTTAAAATCTTTTGAATATTCCACCAAATTTTAATCCAAAAAGCTTTTATATCTCTACAAGTCCACTAAATATGAAAATAAGTTGCATCTAATCCACATCTCCAACATTTGGGCTGTAAATTAGGATACTTACAAAACAACTTTTGAGGATCCAAATGCCACCTATAAAACATTTTATAAAAATTTTCTCTTAAATTTTGAGCTTGAGCAAATTTTACATTTCTAACCCAAATTATCTCCCATGTGTCCAATAAAATCGGCTCATGAATATTTTGAGCCCATTTTACCATACAATCTTTAACTAACTCCGTTTCAGAATCCAATTCTATTAAAACATTATAAATTCTCTTTATATGGGCTCGAGTTTGATCTTTAATCTGTTCTACCAAATTCACATCCTCTACAGTAATACCAACCTTCTGATCTAAACTCCACCTAACTAACAATTGATTATACTGAAACCAAGAGTGTACAATATTTTCTTGCTTCAACTCAGCTAAAGATTTTAACTGCGAATCCTTCCCTACCAAACTAAGTAATTACTTATAAGAAATCCTATCCAGATTCACTCCCCTAGATACCCCCTCTATCGCGTGTCCAGGAATTCCCCAAATTGGAATTTTATAATTTAACCTATAATAATACTTCTTCCAGACATGTAATAAAGCATTTCTTAAAATATGAGATTTAAAAACCTGATCTACTTTTTTATTATAAATTAAATATGCATGCCATCCATATAATAAATCCCATCCCTCAAGAAGAAGTATATTTTTATTAGTTAAGTTAAGCCAATCACTAATCGATGTTAAAGCCACCGCATCATAATACAATTTTAAATTAGGCGCCTTAAGTCCTCCTCTTTCCCGTGCATCTTGTAAATCTTAAACTTAACTCTTGGTTTTTTCCCTGCCCAAATAAACTTATTAATCCCCTTCTGCCATTCCTCCAAGATGGCATCTTTTTTCAAAATAGGTATCATTTGAAACAAAAAAAGAAACTTTGGAAGAATATTCATTTTAACTGCTGAGATTCTCCCCAGCAAAGATAACTGTAATTTTTTTCCAATCATTTAAATCCTTTTGCACTTTCAGCCATAATGTCTCATAATTATTTTTATACAATTTAACATTAGAGGCTGTAATATATACTCCCAGATATTTAACCTTTCTCACTATTTCAAAACCTGTTAATTTAACTAACATATCCTTTTCCTTCATAGACATATTTTTCGATAGTATTTTAGTCTTATTGTTATTTACCTTAAAACCAGAGACTTTCCCATACTGGGTTATGATTTCCACCAAATCCCTTACCAAATCTGTCAATCGAGATAATGTCACAACCAAATCATCGGCAAAAGCTCTCAACCTATAATCTTTCTTATTTACAGCTTTCAATCCCTTTTGAGTTTTTAAAGCATTGCTTCTTAAGAGTTACAAATCAAGTCTGAAGAAAGAACACTGTGTTAACAAAGAACAATTTAATAAAAAACACTGAAAGTTTCATTTTGCAAAATTAATTACAGTAACTAAATAAAGCCAATTGTCTAAATAACTATGCAACAAAGATACCTGCTTTATGCAAGCTCTGATATTCTTGTGCTGATTGCTTCCTTACTAATCTAATTATAGACAGAAAATATAGCCAGAAAATATCAAGTAATAAAATTGATGTTAACCTTTTAATTGAATTAATGCAACATTCTGAGACAATGTAAGTTTCCTTGTTTCATTTGGAAGATACTGCTGGTATGTCATCCAGATATTGTGAATATCGACAAATTCTAGAAATTTCATTGACAAATACCATGGCCAAACTAGGCAAAACATAATTTACAGAAACAGAACCCAACAGAAGCACAATAAGCAAGGGATCCCAGTTTATGTACAGTAAAATGGGATGGGAATTGGTTAGAGATTTAATTTGTTGTCTCCTGCTACTATACTGAGGGAATCTTTCCAATTTAATCTGCTTTGGAAGACTTTTCATATGCATAAACAGAATCTTCTTTTCCAGCACAGATAGCAAGTGGATACTCAGGTCAGTGAAACTGGACTATGACTATTAACACAATAAAAGCCTACTTTCCCCTTTGCAGATCACACAATTAGCATTTTTTATTTATTTCAAGTATTTATAGCTTGCCCAATACTAATGGATTCTGAGTGGATAACAAGATGAAGCATACAATATTTTAAAAAAGGCAAAAAGAGTAAGATAAAAAGACTCTAAGCACAACTAAGCAGGCTTTTTAAAAGCCCTATAATAATTGCTGAGTGAATCAAATATTCTCCAGATTTGCCCCAGTCAAACTGATAGTACAGTAGTGGCCAAAAGTGTGGAAACCTTCTGGGAAAGTGTGTTTTTGAGTTTGATGGCTAATAACATGACTTTTTTTGGAGTAGTACCATAAAATTATATATCAATGGAAAGATAATTTAATCACGAATGTAATGCAACAAAATCTGTTCAATTATTTGTACTGTATTCTATGAAAAGTTATAGCCAAATAACCAGAAAAAGGAAGCACAACTTGCTTATCAGGTAGCTTTCCTTCATCTGATTCTAGCCAATGAGCATGAGTGTTTAGAGAGCCAATCAGGTGTCTTGTTTTGGCAATGAGCCAATTAGATTACAGTAGGATTCAGTTATTGATGTCATGTATTGAAGCTGAGAGGAGGACATTTGTCAGTGTGTTATGTGATCGCTATCAAGTTGGTTGGGGTTTTTTTCCCTTTCATTTAGTGAGCTTATAAAAGGTAATAAAATTAAAGTAATGGTGCAAAGTGTTGACTGGTTGCCCAGAAAGTGATGTAAAATAGTATTATTAAGTGAACAAGGCTACAGTTATAAAGAAATTAGAAGAAAAATTGGTGGAAACTTAACCAAAGGTGGCATTTCTACTGTACACTTTTCCCAAAAGGTTTCCACAATTTTGGCCACTACTGTAAGTGCAATAATTAAGTGTAGGTCTAGGTCTAATGTGGCCTTGCAGCAGGTTAGAAAATCCCTTCTTTTGCAAGACACTCATGCTAAAAACATTTATGCCTAGTCATCTGTTTCAAAGTCAATGTCTTGAGCTGTTTTAAAAGGACTGCTTTCAGTGTTTCTCAACCTTGACCATTTTAAGGCATGTGGACTTCAACTCTCAGAATTCCACAGCCAGCAATGCTGGCTGTGGAATTCTGGGAGTTAAGTCCACATGCCTTAAAATGATCAAGGTTGAGAAACACTGGCTTAAACAAAACTCCTGAAAAATGTATTCTTTCTTTTCTCAAGACTCACCGCATTCATAATGGCACAACGGCGAAACACTTTTAGTGAATATTTCAGATAAATTCCAAATGTTTAAAATAACTGAATTTCTTCAGTTCTCAGGTATACATATTTAGCATCTTTATCACGAAGAATCCTGTAATGTGCTCAGTGAGTACAAATTGTACCATTTTAGTTTTGATCACGTTGTATCTACCTAGCTTAGCAAAAGTAAAAAATAAAGTATCCACTATTTTAAAATTTTATATTCAAGCCTGCTTAATGCAGAAATGCTTCCACTGCCTTTTGGAGAAGACATCAATTCATCTTACAGCATAAATTACCACAAATTCTGGAAATAATTCATATTTTTCAGCCTGGGCAGATGTTTTGCTTTAGTCATTTCATAAATTCTACTTAATCATAGAATACAATTATCTGCTGTATTTATTCCATTTTAGTCTTGCTTAAACAAAACTGGCATTAAGCTCCTTAAAATTATAGCTGTGCTTTTACCATTAGCATTTCTGTACAGAATTATGTTGTTTCATTTGGCTTCCAGAGACTGGGAACTCTTGATGAAGAACATGACCAAATTCTTGGCCAGCAAATCCAGTTTTTCTTACCTTGGCAGCAGCTTTCCAAGGTTTCAGACCAACCAGCAAGCCAAATTTAATTTGTTAATAGCCAACAAAAAACAGAAACAACCTGAAAAATTAATAAAAAGATAAAAAGCAGAAAGTGCCATATTTTCAGCACTTCAACATCCTCTTGTTAACTTGTTTGCTAGTTAACTTGTTTGTTAGTTACTGGAAATGAATGCAATGTGTTTTGCATGAAATTATGTCTAGTTGTTTTTTTTTTACTAGTTTAGTCTAGTGCAGCGGTTCTCAACCTGTGGTCCGCAAATCCCTGGGAGTCCATGATGTTGTCACAGGTGGTTCACGAAGGCTTGAAGATTTTTTATGATTTAAATCTTGAGTTAAGTTCTTGGGGGTTCGTGACCATGGACTGTGGCTACACAAGGGATTTAAAGGGGGTCCATGGTGAAGAAAGGTTGAGAACCACAGGTCTAGTGGTTAGGACACCAGGCTATAAACCAGAAGACTCTGAGTTGCAAGCCTGCCTTAGGCACAAAAGCCAGCTGGGTGACCATGAGCCAGTCATTCTCAGTCCAACCCACCTGACAAGGTTGTTATTGTAGGGAAAATAGGAGGAAGGAATATTAGGTATGTTTGTTTTGACTTGTTTATAAAAAAGTAATAAAGGCAAGAGACAATAAATAAATAAATAGCAGATCCGTAAAGATAACTGTGCAGCAAAATCTTGTATTGACTTGTTTTATTTTAACATTCAGGCAGTATAAATACTTCAACATTTAAGAGCCTTTGGAAATCTGAAATTGTTTTAGCCCCTTATTCCTCAGTAACGTTATAGTCAATGCTGCACAGATTGCTAAAGCATGCAGGAATATGGAAGTACCAATCCCCACTATCTAAAGCATCTACAATATAAGTTATTGTAAGATTTCCATCCACACATCCTGTTTTTAAAAAAAAAAATATCAGCCATGTTAACAGAATTTAGCGTCTTGAGCTGCAATACTCTTAAAGTATATTAACCTAAATGTACATGAACTATGAGACTCTAGTCCTGACAGCTTGAAAATTATGAACAATTTGGAAAGGTGAAAATTGGTTTAATAATCTGATAAATTTACCAGTTTATCATAGTCTCCAAGCTAAATTAAACTAGATGAATCAACAGCATGGTTTGTGCTTGTTTTCAACTATGCCTCAAAATTAATTTTGCTTAATGATTGTCCATATCCATATTGTGTACAAATAGGTAAAGCAAAACTGAAGGTTACTCCTAATTGACAGGGGTGAATTTGAAGTGAGTTTAAGAGTTTGCACAAATTACTATTTAGACTGATTTTTAATGTAAGCAAAAAGTCATTCTGCAGTGCACGTTTGGGTATTTTTCAATCAAAAGAGGAAAGTTGCAGAAGTGTGTGTTAATGTGCCAATCAATAATGGCTTGACTTGAACATTACAAACTAATTTCTCTCTGAATCATAATTTCTAATTTAGTCACATAATAATCTGATATTACACTTTCTCCCTATAAATACAACTTTAAAGGTTTTACAATGTAAACATTTTTCAGTTACCCTACACTGCTTTACACTGACCTACATTAAGTTTATTTATAGAATAAACTTGCAAAGAAAAACAAAACTTTGGGGTTAATTCAGTTGCACTCCTACCCATTAATAGGACCAAAGGCATTTATGCCCCAAAGTCCTTTCCAGTTTTTTTATAAATGACTAAATCATCCACAGGCTATGTAAGTCATAGCAATGCCATTAGGGAAGTACTGCTCACTCAAATATCAAGGCAGCCACTTCTGCCCAAAGTTTTGTGCTGATTCTTTTATGATTTTCTCATATCATCTGTGTATACACACACCTAAGACATTGGTGGTGAAGAGGTTGCTACTACATCGTTAGTGCCTGGAGATCTCCTTTTCCTTTTTGCCCTGAGCCAACAAATTAGACACAATGTTAGGTTCTCTCTTCAGACAAGATTCAAGTCCATGATCCGTAGTTCTCCAGTCACCACATTAATAAGAGGAAGCAAGTGACTTATACAGTCACTGATAATCTCCTAGCAGGGTTAGAGATGGCTAGAAGATCTCTGTTGCAGAAATCATCCACTTTAATCCATCAGTTACTATCTGTCTGGAAGGCCCTGTCTGGAAGGCCACCAGAACTTTTTAAGCTTTGGCCTCAAACCCTTCTGAATCTTTTGTCAAAAGAAGACGGAGACCTGCCCGAAGATATAATTAAGACATCTGCTTCCTCAACTTGCCTATCCTTCACTGCTGTAATGATTGCAACAAAGATAGATGTGTCACTCTGAAATCTATGTGGTTTCTCTATTGTTACTATCTCTCCACTGGGCTCTGCCATCTACTGTGACGCTAGATAGAAGACACGAAGAAAATTGCTCACTGCTCTGAAGAGGAAAAAAAAATACTTCATAGCTTTCATGACTCCTTCTCCTTGTGCTAGAAGCCTGATCGCTGCAGCTGGGCAGCTTTTCCATTGGCTTTGATTGTCCGCTTGTGTGTGTGCCAAAGCTCCTTGTTCACAGGGAGAGCCTTCGGTTCCTAGTACAAAGTACTCTGTATTTGTTCACATTGCTCTCTCACTGACCTGGAGGGAGTTACTTTTTGTATCAAAGAGGTGAAGTTAAACCTGCTGTTGGGTCCACTTTATATTTGAATGGCATTTTGTTTCTGACATTGTTCAATTAAGCATTTCTCCAAGTAAACTGCACAACCATAATAAACTACTTGAGTTTGTGAGTAAACAAATTAAAAAAGCATTTTCCTTTTACTGATCCAGTTAAGGGATGCATGAATTCTTGGGAAAAAAGTTGGTTCCCCTAATGAATACCACAAAGGTGCTGCTGTGCTCACCTGAGGCACAATACATTTCCATATGATTTCTGAAATTTGCTCAATCCTACTCTAAGTATGATATTGTAAATGTACCAGAGCAATGTCAATTAATTATTACACCAAGGACACTTGGCAGAGACACCTCCTACCAGGACTTTTGATTGGCATTGTTAAATGCACTTATTGGTGTACCCAGCAGCTACTTTTTGAATGAAAATGAGAAAGCAAGGAAAAGCTAGGAAATGCAAAATATTATCCATAGTTCGTTCCTTTTTCCAATTAGTAAGGTAATGTGTGCATTATAACTCAGTGGCTTCCTAGCATTAAGGCACCCTAAAATGCCCATCAACAATCTGCATCAACAACCGTTTCCGCCGTCATTGCAGCACTGGACCTCATCCTCACTGCTTTGGATTTACTAAAAAGGGCCTTGTTTTTTTAACTTTAATTTTAATTTCTTTCAAGCTGGGAAACTATAAAATCAAATGGTAAAATGTTGATCAAGTAAACAACTGAATTTCTTAAGAAATTCTCATTATTCTCTTTTTGATGCGTGAGAGGGCAATTGTCCTTTAAAGCATTTTAGCAATCACTGAAGCATTCAAAAACAAGCAAACCTTGCTATTTGTCATAGATGGAAAATCTGGCAGCAAATTCAAAAGCATTAAGTAATAAACCAAAATAGTCCAAAGTTAGAATACTATTGTTCTTATGGGTAAGATATCAGCATGAGAGCCAATGTTTTAGCAATTTAATTATCTTTTTCTACTGTTTAAGCATACTTTGGATAATGATTACGTGAAGTTTATTATGCTACAGTATTACATAAACTGCTATCCACAATGTAAATACAAAACACAAAAACTGCAGACTTTATCATTCAAAAGTCTGCACAATAATATAGTACATTGCTTCATTTAAAGTTGAATACGATGTAGTCATGTGAAACCAAAACTTTCTTAACAATGATTTCATTTATCTAACATGAATGATCAAAGAAACCTAAATCATTTATTGACAGTTGAGTATTTCAACAAATATATTCAGTCGATATATCTTCAGTATCAAAACAGTTGGAATGTGATGGAGAAATTAGTCTTTGCATAGTATCACGTCAGCGAATCCAGTTGCATTTGTATTGTTTCCAACTATTTGATCAAAATAAAACAAAAAAGGTATTTAGGAACATGAAAATGGAAGAGAAATGATAAAAATATGCAAATTAAATATAACCATACATTGATGAGATAATTCTTCATTAATAAAGCAAAAAAATCATTATCCTATTATTAAAGCTGACTTTTTAAAAAATTGCCCAATGACAATTTATCATGTATAAATATGTGTTTGCAATTTGGAAACCTATGGTTATGACTGGGCGAATTCATCACCTGTATAATGTAAATAAATATGTTTTACTGATTTAAGCTTTTCAGAATTGCTTGCCCTTTTGGTTCTTGTTAGAGTTAATTACAAGTTATAGCAAACACCCATTTTGTTCAAAGTCATTTGAAACAGCAAATGTAAATCTTGTTTTTACAAGATATAATTCAGAAGAGCTTTGCTTTGGGGGAGGAAGGCATTATGTGTTTACAAGAAAAGCTCTAAGCAAGAACAACTCAGAACCATAGAGTTGATTAAATAAAGTCTTATTAAAGCAAAGGAAATGTTATCAAATGCTGGAAAATCTATTAAAACACCAATACAGACCTTGTTATAGAACTCAAATAGTTCTTTATGATTGAATTCCACAAATATTTTCTCCATATTCTGTGAAAGACAAAAAGATGGGCAATAAATTAGTCCACACAATATAATGCTGTCTGTACCTTCAGCCTATGGCAAACAGTTACTTAGTTCAGTAATTTCCTTCAAGGGATAATTTAACCTGTATAAAACATGTAAAAATAGCAAAACCCCAACCTTTTTTCACACTGTATATGAATGATTACAAAAAAAATTCATTCCCATTTTTACCTGTTTCTTTGGAAATTATTCTCTAAATCATAACAAAATAAATGGCTAGAAAAAAATTATTATTTTTTGTAACATTTATAAAACGCTAAATGATATTTCATCTCTCCCAGATGTCCTCTGACAGTCAGTAAATGCCATTATAACAAGACATTGGAGGCTGTGCATGTGACTGAACTCACTGATCCATTACAGTGATACGCAAGCATAGATTTAACATTTCACATTAATTTAACTGTTAATATCTTATCATGCTGAGCTCTCTATAGACATTTACCTAGACCTCCAACCAAAAATGTGCTTTAAAACTATTTTTAAACATTAAAGGCAAAATCAGCTCATGATGGGAAACACAGTGGATGAGGCAGATGGTAGGTAATAACTTTCTGCACCAATAAATATCCCCTGATTTCTTGGCTCATGACTACGCAAACACGGTGTTTTGCATTTCTAAATTTGTATTTATTTCATTTTCTATATCCTTTGCCTATGCCATATTTCATTTGAGGTAAAGAAGTACGTTTCAGAAGTGTTACTTTTTCTATAAAGACAGTAATTCTGTACTAACTATACAATATTCTTCATCATAACTGCTCAGGACATCTACAGCGCACCTATCTTAGCATCTCAACAACTCTATCAATATCGTACAGGTCATACTGTATGTCCTCTCACTCAGATTCAACACTTTAACCTTTACATAATGTCAGGTCTTCTATTCCTAACAGAATTTTTGCTAGTCAAGTTTTCTTAGTCAAGTAACATTGGACATCTGTTCATCTTACACTTCTGGTGTTGCTTCAGCTTTTTCAATTTTATTTTTCATTTTTTATTTCCTTAAATATGTTCATTTTTCATTTTAATTATAAGATTTTACAGAGTTTGGGCATATTAAGGGTCACTTCATTCGATCAGCCTAAAGTATCTATTCACGTAACCTTCATCCCAAGGTTTATATAAAGATTAGGAACTTAGAACTACAAGTAATCCTCAAATTTGACCAAAATTGGGAGAACGTTTGTTGCTAAGCCAAGATGGTTATTAAGTAACTTGCACCCAATATTACAACCTTTTTTGCCAGAGTTGTTAATGAAATCCACCTACCTTCATTGACTTTGTTTTTTGGAAGCTGCTGGGAAGTCGCAAATGATAATCATGTGACCCAAGAACGCTGTAACCATCATAAATGCATGAGGGTTGCCAAGTACCCACATTATGTTCATGTGACTGCAGGAATGCTGCAGCGGTTGTTAATGTAAGGACCAATGGTAAATCACTTTTTTAGCAACATCGTAACTTTGAAGAGTCAGTAAATGAATGGTCGTAAGTTGAAAATGCTAAAATATGAAATCCATTGTGTGGATATGAAAGACTGAAAGATGAAACTAAAGCAATTCCTCCCAGTGAAGAGTTATATGATGTACTGTACATGCATATTTGGCATTTTGTTCATGGCAAAAAAGTAAACCGGATTCTATGGATTCAATTCTACGACTAGGCCAATGATTTCCAAGTAGTGGGATAAACAAACAACATATATACTTTGAAAATGATATTAAGAGATAATAAAATCACTGGGTTCAGTATGTTCAGCACACGGCCTCCTCCTCTTTTCTGTGGAAAAAGGTCCCATTCTAGTAATTAAAGAAAATTCATATCTATGTCAGAATCTAGTCTTACCCTAAAGAAGGAAATAAAGCATTACGCTCAAAATAGGATACAGAATAAAAAATAGAAAGGCTAGAGTTGCAGTCTGTAATGACTCCTGCTGATCCTCTGTAATAAAGAACATAAAATGTTTGTTTTTTAAAGGAAAAATGGAAAAGATTCTGATAGCCCACAAAATGAAAACAAGTTTATGTTGGTCTATGACCATAATAAACTCTTTATTCATTCCAAAAATAAGTTAACAAGTGCTACTTGCAGGAAAGGGGAATACATTTCTAAAAAAAATTCCATGGATTGTCATCTCCATCTGAGTCAATATTCATATAATTCCAAAAACAAAACTGTCTCTCTATTTTGGGAAATATTACTATTTATTCATACTAAATAAAAATGTAACCAGTTTGCTAACTGTCAAATGAATTTTGGTGCTGGATAGCATGTACTCCTAAGCTGCCAAAAAGTTGACAGTTTATAAATGTAAAAGTTTATAAAAGAAAATAACTTAAAATTTATACATATAACAAATGAAAAGAAAAACCTCAGACAAGTCATTTTTATACAACAGGAATGCTGTTATTTGAAAGGCTAACATAAAAGTTTGCTTTATGTTTTAAATTAGAATTAGGTGGGATCCACCTGACAATTAGGAAATTTAAAACTTCTCATACATGTCTCTAAATCTGGCTGGTCAAACAGTGAATTGGGAAAAACATTTGTTCTTGGATGAAAATGATTATCTAGATCCATTTCCATTTGGTTTCAGGACTGCTTATGGAACAGAAACCATATTGGCTGTTGTATGGGGATAAAAGAGAGGGGGAGTACCATCAGCTTTCTATACCAATGTTTCCCAAACTTGACAATTTTAAGGCATGTGGACTTCAACTCCCAGAATTCCACAGCCAGCGTTGCTTGAAGTCCTCATCCCTTAAAATTGTCAAGTTTGGGAAACACTGTTCTATACTATCAAGGATGAGTAGACTATTAGAGTTGGGATATGGGGTAATGCATACTATACTGTAATGCTTTCACCTACTACTTGGGTGACCAGTTCCAAAAAGTAGGACAGGAGATTATTCTTCGGCCTTGTGGAGTTATAGGGGGTTATAAAGTCCCTCGGGGCTCCACTTTACGCCCTCTGCTGTTTAACATTTTTCTAAAACTGCAGGCAAGGTTATCCAGAAGTAGGTTCAGGTGTCATCAATAGAAAAATGATACCTAGCCCTATATCTCCTTTTCATCTAACACAGGTGAGGTGGTTGGTGTTAATGCTTCAGCTGGGGAATGGTCTGGATAAAGGCCAATAAACAGAGAGATAATTTAGACAAAATGGAAATACTGTTTGTGAATAGTATTTCTGTCCAGCTGAGTAATGCCCTGCCTGTCATGGAGAGATTTCCAATTATTCTAAAGGAACAGTTCTCTATTTCGGGTTGCTGTAATAACAGAATATTAAATGTCTGGTTGTGCTGCAACTCTTTACTTTTCTTATACTCCTGTGAAGTAGGAAAGATCTGTCTAAGCATCTTCTGAATATGGTCTTAGTTATATTTCATTCATCATCACTCTGGTTATGGGAAAAGCAGGGTCATCTTCCTTATTCTTATGCAGAGAATAAGGAAGATGACCTTGATTTTTCCATTGCAATGATGACAAAAAGGACAATTATTTTGTCCTTTCCAGATCCAATTGAAAATGCTGGTTTTAACCTTAAAGCCCTAAACAGATAGAAAGGCTGTCTTCCTTGTAGAGCCTTACCGTGTCTTCTTTGGTGGGGGACCTGGAGAGCCTCATTAGGTGACCTTAAGGTCTAGGTAGATACATACAGGAGAAGGTGCTCCTTCAGATAACCTGTTTAGCTAGGTTTCATCTCAATGGAATTATTTCCATTTTGCATATTACTCATCCATGTTGCAAACTCAGTTTTCTGAATTGATTGACTGGCTTTATTTTAAAGCGGACTAGGCTGGAAAGATGATTTTGTAGAACAGGTGTCAGACTTGAAGCAGGAAAATGTCAGCTGAAATCCCAACTCAACTATGAAGCTGACGGGACATCAGCATCTCTTAGACATCCATTTCATCATAGGAATCTGGGCAACATGTAGATCTAATTTTTTTTTATTTAGCATTTTGTGAGACCTTCTTATCTACACTATTTCTTCAATTAGTGCCATCTCTTTTTTCTATTTGGTCCATAGAATACTATTAAATCATTCCTTTTATCCAGGCCTTTTTGTATGAAGGGTAAAAATAAATATTTTTCCCTGTTGTCTTTTAGTACACATGTCTGATAGTAACTGTTTTATTTTATTGTTTTCAAATATGATTGTAAATTGCTACAAGAGGCTTTATGGGAAACTGTACAAAGGTTTAAGTAAGTAAACATTGAGTTTATAAGATTATAATACTTCTACTAGATGGGATCTTACACTGTGAATAGAATACACAAACATTTTACAGATATTATCAAAGCAAAACAATGAGCCAATTTACTTTCTTTTTTTTACCAGACCCTTCAAATGGCATCATTTTTCTCTTTTTTCATATTCTTAGAACACAAAGAACAAATCAGGTTACTACTTACTTTATTTGATTTGAATAAAAGACTCATTAGTGGCAAAATATAACAATACCATTTAAAAAATCACTAGGAAAAAGCTTAGCTGTGGGTATCCTGTGAAATATATTGATTAGAACTGCTTCTGAAAATCATTAAGGCTTGTCATTGTTCTGTAATACTGGTTCTTTCAATTAAGTATAAAAAACAGTGATTCAGGTATACTTGTATCAACATTCATCTTCGCCAATGATATGTTACAGATTAAAAACTGAACTTTTTAATGGACTTTTCTCTCTCTCTCCAAGCATCTTGTATCAACTATAAAAGCATGGAAACTTAATTACATTACCTAGAAATCAGAAAGAGAGAAAGGAGTCAAAACAACAAACTGCCTACTTCAGCAATGTTCTATTTGTCTGGAACAGTAATATTTTAATTAGAGGAATGAATTAAGGCACCACTTCATCTTTTAAAGGACATTACTACTTAAACTCAAGAGTAATGAAGGAATTTATAGTAAAAAGGCAAGCTAATGCTTTTCAACAATGTTGTCATCATTCTAGATGAAAGGAAAAGTACATCCCTGAACATTTCACATTATGTATAAACTAAATCAAACCAAACCATACAAAATACACACACACACACACACACACACAGTAAGTTCAGTTTAGTTTAGTTTAGTTCAATAATATTTATCAGTTCTAATATATCTGTCAATCATATTGTAAATGTTTGCTAAGCTATTCAATCTTCAAGTGGAAATCTGAAAACTGTCTATGAATATAGTGCCTCCCTAAATTACAATTAGGGGTCCAAGGTTAGCTTGCTCTGGAGTAGCCAAAGCTTGACATTCTAAGATGATGTCAATTAGGCAAACAAATCAATGCATAACCTATTTCTAAAGCAGGGCATAAAATAAGTGTAGATCAAAATCAATTGAAAGTATATGACTCAGCTTTAAAACGTAGTATTTGCTAACATACTGACAGAAATTGATGTAAAATTTGGACTAAAATAGATTCATCAGCTTGCCTTTTCTTGGAACTGCCGGGAAAGGTATTGCACAATTACTAGATGATACTGGATTGACCCGTATCCAAGTGGAATCAGAAGCTTCCCGTGTTATTTCATCATATTTAAGAGACATACCTAGTAGGTTCTTCACTATGTGTCTTTTCAGTGTCCTGTACTGATTAAGATCCTGGACTGGGACTTTACCCTCAACCATAGAAGCACACTAGTGCTTTTGGGGCAGCCATGTTCTCTTAGTTCAAGACACCTCACAAAACTATTGTTATCTTTGAAAGAGTTAAGAAATAATATTCTTAAAAATTTAGGAAAGGAATACAAAGTTGGTTTGTTCAATCAAGGCTAAAACAGAAAATTAGGTACATCTGTTT